TGCCCATAAATGATATACTCCCTACGGGCTCTGAAAATAAAAACACACCTAAAAGTAACCACGCCGAAGTGGACAGAACCATAGAGAATCTGCTAGCAGTGAATGAGTTCGAGGTTCCTAATCAGTTCTTAGAACACCCACTTCAAAACAGCTCTAAGACGTTTATCCATAAGGCAGCGACTAAAACACGCCCTAAATCAATCCCCACCCCTGCCGTTGAATTAGAATTCAAAACGGGCGTCGTTACCGCACTTTTAGATTCACAAGCGCAAAAATCATATGTAAGACCGGACATAGCAAACAAGTTTGGAACTCCCCTCAATGGACTACCCTCTATCGTACGAATGGCCGACGGACACACGAAGAATACTCGTGGGTCTTCGTCATTCGAACCTAAGATAGCTGATCATAATATATCTTTTAGGGCCTCCATCTTAGACGACTTGTACTGCGATATCCTCCTAGGACATGACTTCCTCGTCGAGAACGAAGTCTCTTGGGACTACTCCGCATGTACAATTCACTTAGGTGCTAACAGACGCACAACAGCTTGTTGGCGAGGCTCACCAACCCCCTGCCCTACAGAACCAGACCTTTCTGAAGTCGAAATTTCGGGCGATCCCACCTCACAGGACCACATAAAACGAATATTGTTACAATACCCAAACGTTTTTAGCGGGAATATAGGCCGCACGAAACTTATCGAGCACGAAATCCGACTCAAAAACCGCACTCCTATCGCGCTTAAACCATATCCATACCCTGTAGAGAAACAAAACTCTATAGACAGTATGATACGCGATATGGAGGAACAAGGCCTAGTCGAACCGAGCACATCGCCCTGGGCCGCCCCTATAGTCTTAGCCAAAAAAAAAGACGGGTCCCCCCGACTCTGTATAGACTATAGACGTTTAAACGAGGTCACCGAATCAGACGCTTACCCCATGCCGCATTTGAACGAAATGATTAGAAACATGCGGGGGGCGAAAGTATTTAGCGTTTTGGACTTAAAATCTGGCTACTGGCAGGTCTCCCTAAGTCCAAGTGCGCGTAGATACACTGCATTCAGAACGCGAAGAGGACTCTTTCATTTCAGAGTACTTCCGTTCGGCTTAAAGAATTCCCCTATGACGTTTGTGAGGTTAATGAACGAGGTACTTAGAGGATATTTAGATGAATTCGTTCAGGTATACTTGGATGATATAGTAATATTTTCCAATAACTTGCCCGACCACTTAGACCATCTCTCGAAAGTTCTCGAACGGCTCGAACGTCATGGACTAACGTGTCATCCTAAGAAATGCAAGTTAGGAACTCCCGAAATTTCATTTTTGGGGCACTTAGTTAGTTCAGAGGGAATTCAAAAACAACCGGAGAAATTATCAGCGATCAGAGACTTTCCGATACCACGGAAAATTAAAGATCTACGTAGGTTCTTAGGCGTATGTAATTGGTATAGTCAATTTGTCGACAACTACTCCGACACGATTGAACCTCTAACCCGCCTATTAGGACATGGGGTAAAATGGCGATGGGAAAGGATAGAACAAGACGCCTTTAATCAAATAAAGAATGCTTTGTACCATTCCCCAAAGTTATCTTCTCCCGACTACGAACGCCCGTTCTGTCTGCAAACTGATGCAAGCGACATAGGCGTTGGTGCTATTCTCTTCCAAAGGGGTGACAGCCCGGAGGAAAGAAGAGTCATCGCCTACGCGAGTAAAAAGTTGAGCGATACTCAGAAACGATACGCTGCGGTCGAACGCGAATGCTTAGCGATAATTTGGGCAACCGATAAATTCAGAATTTATCTCGAGTCGGGCCCATTCGAGCTATACACCGATAACTCCGCGTTGACATGGCTTCACAGAGCCAAAGACAAAAATGCTAAATTAACCCGGTGGGCAATCCAGCTAGGTAATTTAGACTTCCACACGACACATGTCCCAGGGGCCCAGAACCAGGCGCCTGACATGCTGTCGAGACATCCGGGCCCCCCCGTAGACGAGGAGGCGCTCGATGAAAATCTTATAGGTGTCCCGACCCTGACACGCTCCAGACATGTAGGCGATACCCCCGATAACATTTTCACCGTTACCGATTCACCGACAGACTCTGTCGACACACCCTTCTCCTTGTCTTCATTGAAAACTTGGCAGACAAGGGATCAGGCCGTGAAATCTATCATAGATTCCGTGAACAATGACTCCCCTGCAAACAATACCAGACAAGCGACCCCCAACTCGAAGGACTTCTTCTTAGTTGACGACCTTCTAAGAAAGCGAATCGGTACGAAAAATGGAATTGAACTGAAACCAATCGTGATCCCCACTTCTAATGCGCCACAGGTAATTTGGAAGTATCACGATCACTACCTTTCCAACCATCCTGGGTGGAAAGAGACTTATAGGGCGGTTCGAGAACGGTTTTACTGGCGAGGTCTAAAGAATCAAGTTAGGCTCTATGTCAAGTCTTGTCACATTTGCGCGTGCACTAAGCCTCTTAACGCCAAGGCGGAAGACCCTCTTTCGACTAGAAAACCGCGACAACCCTGGGAGGTCATCAGTATCGATCTCATGGGCCCTTATCCGAGAACCGGACGGCGCAAAACATGCATACTGGTGGCCACCGATTGCTTTAGTAGATGGGTCGAAGCTTACCCCTTAGGGTCCGCCACTACTAAAGTTATCACACAAACACTCGAGCGCGAATTCTTTGCGCGCTACGGCTATCCCCGTGTGTGCCTCAGTGACAATGGCCCCCAATTCACATCGAATGAAATGCTCAAAGCACTCGAGCGATGGGGGGCGGTGGGTTGGACGACCCCAGTTTATCACCCAAGAGCCAACCCCACTGAGCGTCGCAACCAAGAACTGAAAAAAGGACTCCGTACACTTTTAGTGAACGATAGTCATCGTTCTTGGGATACGAAACTATCGTCGGTACTTTTCGCGATTCGGAACAGAACGAATGAGATGACAGGTTACTCACCGTCGGTTTTAGTCCTTGGTAGAGAAGGAAAAAGACCGGGCGATTGGGTCCTAAACCTTCAATCGACTGTCCCAATCGAACAATTTGACGAAGAGCGTCGGAGCCGCGAAAGAGTGGCCATGAATCTTCTGAAATCAGAAGGGTCCCCAATAACCCCTGAGAACTCAAAATTCAAAGTGGGCGATTGGGTGTATCACAAGGCGCACCCCCTTTCAAATGCCGATAAAGGATTTCACGCCGGATTTGCACCCAAATGGTCAGGTCCGGTGAGGTTGGCGAAGAAGATTGGAAGGGGAATATACCTAACCGATCAACGCCCACCAAAGAAACTCCATGTATCATGCATGAAACCCTCCGCTACCACCGATATACACACGAAAGAAACTAGCGATACTTGACCGACACGGGAAGTATAACAAACGTAATTATGTTGCTTATTGTTGTTACTAATTATATCTTGTTTGTCCCCCCCCCATTTCTGTTCTTTTTTTTCCCCCCTTTGTTTCAGCGCATCATGGCCAGCAGCCGACAGCCGAGCGCCGACCAAACCTTGCTACAAGGACTAGCAGACCAAGTAATGGCGATGCAGCGGATGCTGAGCAGCAGAGGGGTGCGCTTTCCCAGCCATGCATTCAACACCGCTGACGAGGCCAATAACGCCTCCCCCGACGTCATTCGGAGAGACCCAGTCGCGTGGGCCCTCTACTCACGTGGCTGGCGGGACTGCATTGCCCTTCTGGCCACGACCCCCATCGGTAATCAGATACCGGTCGGTCCGCCGGTGACAACGGGGCCACATCGGCAACTCCAAGCCGGGCCCACCTACGGGCAACCTAGGGCACCACAGCCCAGGTCGACGGCTCCTCTCCACCAGCTACCACCACGGTCGGCAGCACCGCAGGTGGCGTCCAGGATGCCAACTCCTCCGGTACGCCCGTTCCATCGACCGACGACCGTCCAGGTGGGAAAGACGGTGCGTTTTGTCGGCAGCGGAAAGCCAGTGACGGCGGGACCTCCCAGGGCAAAGGGGACCGTCCCGAAAAAAACCAGAACCCCTTCGGCGAAGCGAAAGTCGGCTCTCCGTCTCCGGGCATTCCGTCAGGCGAAGAAGGAGCAGACAGCTCAACCCCAGAAGCCGACACCATTTACCTCGCAGCAGTTTAGACTGGAAAAACCGGACCATGGGGACGCCGGGCCATCTAGAGACGTGCGCGCCGAGGAACAGCCGACGAGCGACCCGATCCACCCCGAGGTCACCCCGGTGGAGGCCGCCGTCGACCCGCAACCCACTGTCCCAGCGGAAGAGGAAACCCCATCGCTGGAGCAGGAGCTCGAGGAGATGGCCGAAATGGACTGGACGAAGACGGACACCGAACCGGAAGACTTCCAGTCCTGTCCTACTAGCCCTATCGACAAGCCACTGTAGGGCGATCCGCCATACCGTAGTCCGCCATCGGTACCTTACAATAGGTCCTGAGGGCGAGTTGATAAGGGACTAATCCTTCTCGGCCCTGTTAGCTACACCACTACCCGACGGATTGACGGCTTGGCGGGGGAGGGTTGACACGGCCCGTGATACATATTACTAATAGGACGCCGCGCACTGCGGCGTACTATTAGTGATATGCCACGGGCCGCGACACTTTACCGCCACAATCCGTCCGGCAGACACGAACTGACTGGCTGACCACCACTCTCTACCTAGGGTGCAAAGTCCAGTTCGGACGCCGGCATAGCGCGGCGAATATAATGGGTAGCTAATCACTTCCCGATACGACGCGCGACCGACGACTTACCGTTTTCCCAACGTATTCCGTCCGCCCTCGTATCACCTAGAATTAATTCGACGCCTTATCCCGACTTAACTTCTAGCGACCCCCCCACGACTAGCCCGCTAGTTCGATCATTCCGGATCCGTCCGCGTTTTTGTAAACTTAAATTTTAAACCTATTTTATATATTGCGTGGTCGAACAATAAACAGTGTTTACGCCGCAACCCCGTGTTGAACTTATTGACTTAACCCCAACCCGTGAGTTGCGTCCACACACGACCGCGTCAATGTTGCTAAAACTCGTCTAACCTCAATGGTATTACAGACGGTTTCAACCTGAGAAATCAGCAAAGTAATTCATGTAGCACATCTTAAGATTATGTAGTGTACAACAAGATGCTACACCGAATTTGCATAGAAAAGCAAATAATCTATTATAATTTTTTGGTAGATCCAATCATTTTGACTTGTATTCGTTTTTAAAGTTTAAGTTTTGATTCGCGCAAAACGATATTCATTGAAAAAATATAATGATTTTTTAAAGAAATTACCATGATAGCCTGACAACAAAACAAACTATAGCCAATGAACAAGTCTTATTTCTGTATTAATGAGTATGCACTATAGTTGAAGCTCTAAATTAAGACTTTGAGAACGATTTCCTATAATTTACTCATTTAATAAATGGACGAGTGCGTCTTGATCAAAAAATATAAAAAGCAATCGTGATAAAACTATAAATATTACTTCTGCATTGTCCGTTTGGTTGTATTCTGCTGAAAAAACCATCAGCTCTTGCAGCTCAAAAGCAGCCGTTTCTATAGTATAAATATTGAATATATTTTTAATTTTATTTCAAATTACACATAGAATCAGATTTAAAAAACATTAACACAATTATATAATAAATCTTAATATTTCATAAATAATATATAAAACATAATAAACGAAAATATCATTTAAAACTTAATAAATAAAACATAATTTATTTATTCATTGTTTATAGATGACAAATTTCCCGATTAATTTAGTTAGTCTGCTTCTTACAGATAAAAAGTTAGTTTGCCAACTTTAGATGGAACAATATTAATAACAAACGAGATAGTATCAAAAATATATTCTTACGAAAGCGTTCAAAAACCCATTCCTCATCCTGGTCCTTAACTATAGATAACCCTTTAATAAACTCTGTTAGTTTATCAGGTTGAATGTAATCGGCATTTATTTTGTGATCTTTAATATTGTTCAGATCTACAATCTGTTTCACGTTTAGACCTCTGCCCTATGAACAAATATTAAAATGATGTTTTTATTATTAAGTCAAGCCTTTAACAAAACCATAAATCCTTACTAGAGGTTTTACTTTCAAAAAGCCATATAAGAACTCCACGAAGTTAATTGCACTGTAACCTATGAAAATTAATATAAATTATCAACCGTAGGAATATAATTAACTGCCTTGTTTACTCAACATTACCTTCGAAATAATCGGCCAAACTTTTTTTCTCTTCGTCGTTTAAACTTAAAGCTTGAATGATATTTTGAAACTTCTCGGAGTTAACCAGACCATCGGCATCGCCTTTTTTTTCTTCGTGATTTCTGAACAGGCTCAAGTAAATTGTTACTTCGTGGGTTGATAAACTTTGGATCTATGTAAAAAATGGTGTGTGAAATTTAAAAAAAAATAGATTAATAACAAATTTTTCAATATTTTTTTTATTGGTAAGTACCATCCAGTGGTCAAAGGTCTTATTGTTTTTGGCCAGAAATACCATAACACTTTGCACTTTTCGACCGTCTTTCATATCTATATTTAAAAATAAAATTCATTAAACATATTTTAATCGAACTAGCAAAGACAAGTGAGTTAAATTGAAAAACGCTGTTTAAAAGATACTTTATTACCTGCTTCGTATGTAAAACCTGTCATATCCTGCACGCCCATATTTTTAAAAATTTCATTGATTTCGTCTAGTGAAACTTGGTCTTCATGGGATTTGTGTTTTTTGAATAAATCAATAATCGTTCTAACTTTAAATATATTTAGTCCGATGCTCTATAAAGGATCATAAGTACAATAATAATTTGTATTATTATGTTTTATACTAACTTGTGTCATGGTCACGAAGTACAAAGCACAGAGGATAACAGCAATTTTGAATTGCATGATGGTTTTGTTTTTCAAACACTTTGTTAAAACAAAAGTACGTCTTCGATACCAAAGTCGGATGAACAGTGGTGTTTAATTCGGTTCAAGTTGTATTCTATATGATAAAAACAACATAAGTATGTAAATGGAAAATGTACTTGTTTTTATTTTATTAACATATGATATAGACTTATTTTTATGACCAAAATGTACAGTTGTAAATATAGTGTTGTTCTAATAAAACTACTATTTACTTATGTGAAATAATATAACAATATATATTTTTTTTTGCTGTACCTAAATTACATAGAAACAAAAAACAGTGTAGCGAACGATGCATATTATTAAATATTCATATAATATTGTTTGTTTGTTTGTTAAAAAAAAAAAAATTCCACACACTATACTACGTGATAACATTTATTTAAGGGATGCGGAAATCCTGCTAAAATATTCATAGTTAGATTTGAGGCGTTTTAACATGATAATTCTTAACCGGATGACATAAGATGAAAAATAATAAACTACCATATATGGTGTATTAGCATTAAATTAATTTAACAAGAAAAACATAACTTTCACGTTTCTCATTAAGGCATAAAAAAATAAGTTGAAATTTATTTAAAAAATGTTTTGAAATATAATTCCAAATTTTTTTCATAAACCAATCGATAGTCGTTTGTCCACCGATGGTCTCTGAGAATTTTTAATTAAAAAGTAGAAGACTTAATCAAATAAATCTTTTTTTTTACAGTTACAGTTAAATAGTCGCCCAATATTGATATAGTTCTTAATGATATAACACCATCCCTTAAGTTTTAAAACCTTATGTACTTAATAGCTATTTAAATGGTAACGTTTATATTTTATACATTTTTTAAATAATATAGAGTGATTAATTGAGAATAAAGAACTAAAACAAGTGACTTGTCCTTTATTAATCACCCTGTATTATTATATTAGTTAGGGATAAAATACTCTTTAACATTTTGTACATTTTGTAGTTTTTCTTTTGAGAAATGAGAGACACTTAAGTTTATCGTCACTTAAAGAACACATTTGTTTTTTTTTTCTAGAGTTTTTTTATTTTTAAATTAGAACTATTCAATGGTTTTCGATTATAACTCATCGTAAAATTACTTCTAAAATATTATAAGACAATTAAAATATATGACAAAGAAAACTATATAGCTTTGAAAATAGTCATAAAACATCAAACTTAAAACTTATTATCTATGATTAAAACACTCAAAAAATATATTTGTTAGGTAGACCAGCTTCTTTCTCCGTAAGTATCATCATGAATAACTCCAGAATGTCAAAAGAAAGGTCGGCTGTAAAGCAAAATATTTTTAGTTAAAAAATTTATTTTATTTTGTCTCTAAATATACTTCAACATTTTAACCATTTTCTGATAAAACTTTTCATAATAATTGTTAAATCACTCATACACTCCGTTGCGTTACAGTCTAAATAGAAAATAAAGTAGATTAAACAAATAATCTAAAAATAACGTTTTTATGCGTCTTAAAAAGTATAAAATAAAAAGTATAAAATAACCCTCCAGGGGTCTTGATAACCAAATAGGACAGGTGAACTAGAAAAATGTGGGGCGCATCTTTCTACTTAGATATTAAAACCTAAGCTTTCATGCTAATGCATTAAGTTGTCTCTCATAATGCTGTCTCTCTAACCGAACGGATCAGAAAGTGATAGTATGACTTTTTTTTGGGAATGAAATTTAATGGATTTCCGTGCCACTTGCCTTAAATTTCATTGAAAATTGAAAAGACTTAATTGCTATTCTCTCCAAAGATTGTTTTATGTAGGTTGCTTCAATGTTTTTGTTAACTACCTACTTGCTTAACATTTAAAGTAATGTGGTGCTCAATTTTAAGTATTATTTTATTTAGAAGAGAAAAGATGATTGTGCATGAATTATGAATTAAGGTAGTTATTAATAAGAAGAGAATGTTATTATATATTCAGACGTGTGAAGTAGTAAAGATGCGCCCCACGTTTTTCTAGTTTATCTGTCCTATTTGGTTATCAAGACCCCTGGAGGGTTATTTTATACTTTTTAAGACGCATAAAAACGTTATTTTTAGATTAATTTTTTAATCTACTTTAGTTATTTTGTTCTTTTTCGTTTTCGTATGGACGTATTATAAATGTACAATGTTATAAAAAGTTTATAACATGTTATAGAAAAGGCTGCATGGTTAGAAGGATTATCATAAGAATTAGTAATCAATTTAAAAGCTTATAATTTTAGATTTATTACTGTATAAATTATCATAAAAGTTGAATAAAAGTTGTAAGAAAATGCAAAAAAGTGTAATGATGAAAACGGGTTTGAACCTGGTACCGCTCGTATCTGAGCACCGTTCACGCCCAAACGCACCACTCATAATTTTTGCTGGCGGGTGAAAAATAAGTCTTTTTGAATTGCAAGATTCCACCCGGAACGACGGTCAAGAAATCAACCCCATTTTATGCTCTTACACGTTCGGTATCATAGACGGTTTCAACCTGAAAAATCAACACAGTAATTCATGAAGCACGTTATTAGATTTCGTAGTGCACACGATGGTGCTATCCACTTGTAGTGTGATAGCATTGAGTTGGCCGAATTTGCATAAAAAAAATAAAACAGCATATTATCTATTATAATTTTTTGATAGGTCCAATAATTTTGTCTTCTATACGTTTTTAAAGTTTAAGTTTTGATTCGCGCAAAACTATATTCATTGAAAAATTATAATGGTTTTTTAAAGAAATTACCGTGATAGCCTGGCAACAAAAAACTATAGCCAATCAACTTAAAAATATGACTTTGCGAACAATTTCCTATACTTAACTACTACAATAAATGAAGAGTGGTCCTGATAAAAGTATACAAAACGTAATCGAAATAAAACTATAAATATTACTTCTTTGTTAGTCGTTTTGTTGTATTCTGCTAAAAGAACCTCCTGCTCTTGAAACTACAAAGCATAGTTCTCTATGGTCAAAATATTAAATACATTTTTTGTTTTATTAAAATATACTAGTCGAATCAAAGTTGAAAAACTTCAAATAAGTAATTAAATACATCTAAATTAAATAACAATTATTTTATAAATACAAATAAACATGTGTAACATGATTAAATAAAAGATAATTTTTGACTCTTTGCTTCGTACAGATAACCAGTTGTTTTGCCAACTCTACGTAGAACAATATTAATAACCAGCGAGTTAATATTAAAAATATATTCTTACGAAAGCGTTCAGAAACCCGATTCTCATCCTGGTCCTTAACTATAGATAACCCTTTAATAAACTCTGTTATTTTATCAGGTTGAATGTAATCGCCATTTATATTGTGCTTTTTAATATTGCTCAGAACTGCAATCTGTTTCATGTCTAGACCTTTGCCCAATAAACAAATATTTAAATCATGAATTTATTAAGTGTAGTTTGACTTTTTTTTAATGCTTTAATGCGCAAAAAATCTACAAAATATATTTTTTTTAGACATTTTAAATGCTATGCCAGGCAAAAGAATAATTATATGTGTACTTTATCAAGCCTTTAACAATACCATAAATCCTTACTTGAGGTTTTACTTTCAAAAAGCCATATAAGAATTCCGCGAAGTTAATTGCGTTGTTTCCTATGAAAATTAATATAAAAATATCAAACCGTAGGAATAAAATTAACTGCTTCGTTAACTCAACAACACTTTCGAATTTTCCGGTTAAACTTTTTTTCTGCTCGTCGTTTAAACTTAAAGCTTTAATGATATTTTGTAATTCCACGGAGTTAACTAGACCATCGTCATCGCCTTCTATTTTGTCGTTATGTCTGAACAAGCTCAAAAAAATTGTTACTTCGTAGGTTGATAATCTTAGGATCTTTATAAAATTGGTGTGTAAAAATAAAAAAAAAATGGACTAATTACAAATCTAAAAAAAAATGTTTTTTTATTACTTTCTAGTCGTCTGATGTCTTATTGTTTCTGGTTCAGAAATACCATAACACTCTGTACTTTTCGACCGTCTTTCGTACCTTTATTTAAAAATACAATTCTAAGCATATTTGAATTGAGCTAGCCACAAGACGAGTGCGTTAAATTGAAAAATTAGTAAAAGCTGGACGAATATTATTTCTTGTGATATTTTTTTTTTTAGTGGGATAATGTAAAATTTGATTACAATCGTAAAGTTTAAACGCTGTTTAAAAGATACTTTATTACCTGCTTCATATGTAAAACCTGTCACATCCTCTACGCCCAATTCCGTTAACTATTCTTTGAATTTTTCTGGGGTAATTTGGTCTATAGCGTTTTTATGTTCTTTGACTTAATCAACAATTGTTTTGATTTGTTCCATATTGACTCCGACGCTCTATAAAATATCATAAGTAGATAATAACAATAGATAATATTATCTACCATCATTTTTTAAAAATTAGTTTTGCATTTATAAGTTGTATTATTATGTTTTATACTAACATGTGTAAAATGTTAGTAAAAAACATTTTGTACTAACATGTTAGTGTAAAATGTGTAACATGGCCACGAAGTTCAACGCACATAGGATAACAGCACTTTTGAAATGCATAATGATTTTTTTTTTCAAACACTTTATTAACCCAGAATTTTCTTTGGTGCTTCAAATCGAAAATGTTTTTTTGAGCTGTTCGGGAACTAGATAGTTTGCAACGTCTAAGAAGGATAATTATAATGATTTCGAAATAAAAAATATAAGTTTTATGGTATTACATTGTTTATTCAATCGTTTAATGGGTTGACACAATCAAACTTAAA